CATTAGCGAACGAACTGGAGCTTGGCAGCCGGCGCGGTAGGTCCGGGGCTCCCCCCTCCCCCTCCCGGGGTGGGGAGGGCTGCGCGGACGATCGGCGCGGCAGTAAAGTGTGATGTTTGCTTGTTTGCTTGTTTCCTTGGGATTGTAGGGAGTTTTCTACCTCTCTGTTCGGTTTTTGTTGTAGTTTCTTACCATGTGGGGTTTGTTTTGTTACGCCTACCTTTCTGGGTGCCTAACCCCGGTCGATGGCAGATAAGGAAAACCCCCAACCATATGGGGTTTTCCAGGGCCATTGCTCCCTGAAACCTCTCTGAAGGGGCCAGGTTCTGGCGCTGGTCCCTGGTAGGTCTGAACTCCTTAGCTAATGTCCCGGTCTAACATAACACACATTAGCCCGATAAGCTCCAGGGAGCCGTAGGGGCTCCCCACAGAAAAAACAGGCCTGAAAGCCAAAAGGGAGAATGAAGCACTAAAAACCACGCTAGACAAATGTTTGGCAATAACCAATCACAAAATAAAGTTCAGAACAAATAAAATGTCACCTGACCGACTCCACGTACTGTCACTAGATGGCAGTGGCATCTACCTAGAGCTACAGTTGAAAGGAGCTCCGGGATATTTCAAAATTCCTAAGTATTGTAGAACAGGTTGATGATAGTGAGTGGTGTCCCAAGGAACATAAATGTGTGGTGCTTTTGATAAATAGGCGAGATAACACGAATGTATCAGGGAAAGTGAAAAAATTGGATGAGAAAAAGTTGCCCCTAGTGTTCACAGTGCAGACAAAATTCAAGATGGCCACCGGCAAGAGGAAAAAACGACAGTGCTGGATTGTGGTAGTTTAAATGAAAAAAGCATTGATATAAGCAGTTTACACATGAAGTTGGCAAAATTAGATATTATAGTGAACAATCATGTAGAAATAATCAGCAAATTGAAAGAAAGTAACTTGGGTAGCTTTGCCACTTGGGTAGCAAAGTATTAGGTCTAGAGGGGTTAGTGAAAGACTTATGCAAGACAAGACTCAGTTGGAAACAAATTGCAAAGCCATGAAAGAGGAAAACAAACATTTGAAGAAAGAAGTTAAAGCAAATTTAACCCCTAAGCTGCTAAGGGGTCCTGAGGTTACACCCGTGCTCAAGAAAAAAAAAATTCTAAAATTTGTTTACGTCTTCTAAAAATGATAATTTGTGTTCCCTGAGCATGGGTAAAATAAAAAAAATAGTAGGTGACATATTTTGGGCGCAATAGGCCGAGGAAGTCTGGCAAAATGTGGGCATTGACAGAGCGGTCGTCAATGGCGGTCAGCGTCACCCGAGCTGACAGGTGGGAGTTGCCACAAAGATATTACTACCTAATTATTTCAATGTCTCTGATTTTTTCTTAGTTTTTTGCAGTAATATTATTCAATAGTGTGTAGTGTGATAGATTTATATAATAACATGTGTGAATCATCACTATACTCAAAAGTATGGTGTTCATATTAGTGGTTCAATTATTACGTTTATAAAACAATAAACAAATAGTTTTGCTGCTATTACACTCTATACACACGTTATATATAAGTATCTACATGTTTTGTTCACCACAACTGTACAACTAAGCTGATATAGTTAGTTCAGGCACTAAGAGAGATGGCTACACTCACAGTCAGCTGGCGGCTGCCTCCCTCACTCATTCAAGGTCAGGCGCACTAAATTTCTCCCCCAACAATACTGTTTGCAGCGTTATTACACTATATACACACATTATATATAAGTATCTACATGTTGTATGCACCATAACTGTACACCTAAGCTTGTAGGGTGCCCAAAGAGCATAAGGGCCATGATCTACACAGCTAGAAAAGTCATGCAGATGATGCCACTTCTGTCACTCAAATGGCTCCTCCCAACATAATCCTTTTGCAGTTACAACACTAATACACACATTGAATATAAGTATCTACATTTGTGTTCACCATAGAGAACCACTGAGCTGGTATGGTGAATGCAGACAACAGGTGGCCACACAGTCGGTAAACGATGCTATCTCCCTCCCTCTCACAGCATTACTACTCCCACACATCACTAATTATCACAACAATCCTGCTATAATCACAATCCTGGTCATTTTTATCACAGTCAGGAGTCATCTGTAATATTGCCATCGCTAAATAATAGCAGTTACATATTTATTTTGACATTTTTAGGCGATGCTGTGGTCACAAGCTGAACAGCAATGCTGTTAGCTCATGCTGAGTGTGCCAGCCATGGTTGCTCCAACAGTACTGTGGCTCTCACACCGGAGAATATTGCCCACGATTCTTTTTAAATATGGCGTCTGTTTACAAGAGCCCTGAGGAAGCTGATGTGAACACTGTGTAGCCGCGGGCCATTTGAATTGTGCCTGGCACCCTATGGCATATATAATAATAATAATAATAATTTTTATTTAGGTAAGGTACATACATAAAGAGATTTTACAAAGTTTGTTGGCTTTATAGATAGAGCTAGTACATACAATGCCTAAAGCCACTATTATATTATACTATTATATTACACTATTATATATATACGCCATGCGCACCGTGGGACATGTTACTCATGTCCCATGTATATACATATATGTATATATATATATATATATATATATATATATATACGTATACGCCATGCGCAGTTTAAGGGTTAAACTTAAATGACTACAATACGTTAGGTAAGGAAATTCAACAGAAAAAACAGCTTATGTCAGTACAGATGGAGGAAGTTACACAGGGAATAGAACAGTGCAAGAAAGATGTGCAATTCACCTATGCTCAAGTGGCCAAGGAGAAGGAAAAAATAAAAGCAGCAGTAAGGGAAGCCAAACACTGCAGCAACCAGGATAAAATAAACATTAGGCTAGAAGTTAGAAAGGAACTGGCATCTAACCCAAAGTTGGTGCAAAACACAGTTGATCGAAGTAAGTCCCTGATAGTTTTTGGTTGCAAAGAAAAGGAGATAACATCTAAATCAGAAAGAGCTGTAGAAGAAGAGAAAGTAGTAGATAAAATTGTTGGCCTCATCGAAGGTCTTACTACCGTAGAGAATATCTGCGACTACAGGAGAATTGGAAAGTACGTAAAAGGGAAAGATCGACCTTCGAGGATCACCCTAAACGGTGCCAAACAGATGGAAGAAGTGCTAAGGAATGCTAGAAAATTACAAAGTGATGAGGAAGGGAAAGTATGGTCGTTAAGATGAAATCTTTCAAAGGAAGATAGAGAAGCTGAAACTGAACCTCATCGAGGGAAAACATCTAAATGAGAGCAGGAATGAAGAAGAAATCAATTTTTTTTTCTACAAAGTGATAGGGGTAGGCAGACCAGTAAAATGGTACAAAAAGGCAAACCAACAAAATCACGGGCGAGAGGGGGGGAGTGAAGAATAAGGAGAGGGGGAACATGTTCCTGAAAATTGTATACACCAACATTGTGAGATCAAAGATACTGGAGTTAAGTGATGTAATACAGCTACAGACGCCAGACATTGCCAGTTCTAGAATTATAAAACACACCTAGGGGAGGGAAGGTGTTAGGAAGCCTCTGGGGCTCCCTGACGCCTTACCCTGACTCTGAAACCCTTGGACACTTTGGACTTGAAACTAGGGGAGAATTGGGGAAAGGACCATAATTAAGACAAATCACACCCGCTGAGAAAGGAAGAGGAGAGGCAAATTTAGTTCAGGTGGAAGTCACCAACACTTCCAATTCTGGGTCCCTAAATATCATAGGGGCCAACTCTGGGGCATACAACTGATCACAGTGCCAGGAATGCCTAACCCTATCAAACCTAGCTCGCAATATGGAATCTGCCTGAAAAGCTTCTACAATGAAAGGAGATTCAGTCAATGCAGAGCTGGTAGCAAAGATGATAAGCACCTTGACACTTAAAACCTTAGGGAGTGTAGACTTGACGCCCCCCCCCCCAAAAAAAAAAACATGGCAACCACCCATGAATTACCAGAACCCGAAGACAGCTAACAAAGCAAAGCAAAAAATGCAACCAAAACAATCAGGCTTACAATTGCTACCCACAGCATCATATAAACAAACATGTAAGCCTCAGTGTGTCCTAGCCCAACCAACAGAATGGTCCCTTGGCTTTGGGGCCCAAAGAGAGAGGAGTCAAAGTTCTGTGAATAGCCCTAAGCAAGCCTCTCCACCCTGGTGGCATGGCCTCTCAGGCAAACTCCCAAACACTACAGAGAAGATCTCTGCCAGTACACTGGCAGTGCTGGCAGGTATTCTGGAAAAAACCTAGTGTATGCAGCTCAGAGCAACACAAAACTAAGCCTACACAACAAACCAGATAGAAAACTTGCATGTGAAGCAAAATACTAAATTATAGAACAAGTACAAAGCAAATGGCCCCTGCAGGAACAAGTCCAAGGACAGCCAGCACTTAGCCTAAAACAGAGTTGCTTGCCTCATCTGAAAGACCTGCAACATAACTGTCCAATTGGAAAACAGCAAAAGAACTGAACAACGAAGATTGCTGCATCTGTAAAGCTTCACTGACTATCTACAGGCTTTCCAAGTGTGGTGGTGAATTGTTACCCAATCTCTCTGCCTCTGTGAGGGGGGACCAGGTTTTAGCTGTGGTCTCCAGTAAGTCACTCCCACACCTGATACAACCCATTTTCATGGAGCAATCTCAGTGAGATAGCTTCAAGGTCACTGGGGGCTCGTCCAGAAAACAAAATTTACTGGACTGGAAAGAAACGTATTTTTCTCTGTAAGGCTTTCAACATAATATTACATAGTTTGGGAATATGCAGTCTCTCCTGAAATGAATGCCTGCTTAGTATAAAAATCTTGTGCAATGCTATTTTTGTAATAATTCTACATAACATCAGGATAATAAAACCATTAACCTAAGTACAGTATATTTGAAATTTAAATCGAAAATAAAATAAAAATAATAAAATAAATTTTAACAATAAGGATCTTTGATACAGATAATGTGATAATTACTCACCCGAATATCTTGCAATGTTCCCTTGAAGTTTGGTCGAGTTATAGTTGTGGTAAAATTGGTGACACCAAGCTGACGTTTCACCCTTGCTAATGTGGTCTGAGGAACACCTCCAAGGTACAGAACCTGGGCTTGGAGGTCACCACCATACGTCAGGGTAGTGTTTAGCACAAGCACATTGTCTACATTTACCTCAAGCTCATTCCTGATGCGCTTTACCTGTTAGCAAAATAATTACAGTACTGTATCATTTATTTTACAACAATAGATAAATTTTCACTGAATTAATGTAGTATTAACATCATCAATTTCAAAACAATTAAAATACTTACATGAAGAAGATGTGGGTCACCATCTGAGAGTGTCAAGCCTTCAATTGTGAATACTTCCTCAGGTCCATCCAGTAAAATACGAGTAACTAACTTGCCATTTTTAAGCTCTACAATTATGTGTGTCTCTTGGAATCCTAAATTAGAGAAAATAAATAAACAACAATGAATAATAAACTTGTGTAAGTGGCTAGATTTATTCAGTTTCTTTCAAAATATTTATGACACTTAACATTTAACCATGGAAGTATTTTAAATCATTACACAAAAACACTTGATAAGCAACATCACCAACCTAGGGTATGAGCAGTATCCAGAGTTCCCAGATAGAAGATGAGGCCAGTAGACTCCCTGGTGCGTACCAACATTGACACATCAGCGTGGCTCCTATATGTTCCGTGGTCTACTTCAGGGATCACCACGGTTACCATGCTGTCTCTTGTATCTTCATTCCCAAACGTGACAGGAGTGAAGCCTGTGAGAAAACAATTGGTTTTACTATATAGAACTAAGTGTGTACAGTTATCAAATCTTTTAGGCAACACTTCCAAAGTATGAGCTGTAATTTATTATTAATATTAGACTGAAAAAGAAGAATATCACAGACCCATTGCAAAGATAAATTTTGAAGATTCTTATATGATTAGACACAAAAACATTGTACAGAAATTAAATTTGAAGACTGAAGATTTACACTTTGGTTTTGGCCTCCACCACCACCTCACTTCTTCTAACTGTCTACCATTTTGTTTGCCAAAGAGAACTTAATATTTTTTGGCACCTTCATGTGCTTAACTTGAATCTATGAACTCTTGTTCCTGAAGTTTAAGGCTTCAAGAATTCCTCTGTCAATTTTCTTCATACATGTTTCTACATGGGTGCACTGGTGGCTTGCATGCTTGTTTACACGGCACACCACAGTAAACTTTCACAGTCATGTAGCCAATGCTGTGCTGGCTTACATTTAGGTCTGGCATAGTGTCCCCAGTGTCTGGGCATCCTATTTAATTTTCCTTTCAGGCTCTGGAAATCTACTTCAGTTGGCCAATGAATATTCCTTCCAAGCTTGTTCTTTCCTAGTGTGAATTTGAGGGTTGTTTGTTGTCCATGCCACTGGGCAATAATCATTCATTTTGCCATTGCCATTCTGCCTGTTGGGTCAGACACCTACAGCCCAGAGTCCTGTGGGGTTTGCCCTCCACATGTGGCTTTCCTATCTGACTCTCCTGATGAAGTTCATATGTATCAAGCAGCTACTGCTTTATGGGTTTGATTTGCCCATCTTCTGCGGTCAGGGTTGTGTACATGTTAGGGCCAAGTGAAGCCAAAAAAAGCAAGCTATGACTGGCATTCACAGCATGTCAAATAAACAAATGCACACGCCTCAGCAAGACCCAACACAATCAATCGAACCACTCGCAGCCAAGAGTCCAAACAAAGGAGTCAAAGACCCATGAATAGAGTAAGCAAGGTTCTCTACCCCCATTGGCCTTCCCTCCCTGGGGTGAACTGAATACAGTACACCAGAGAAGATATTTCTGTCAGTGCAGTGTTTGTGGGCACCCTTGGAAAATGCATGCAGTCTGAAGCACAACAAAGCCAAACCCACACAACATGCCAGATAGGAAACGTGCACATGAAGCAAAAAAACAGCGTTGAATGTAGAGAAACGCCATTTTCTGGGTGAGTCCCGGAGGCTCCCTGGAGCCCCCCCTCAAAAGAGGCATGAGAAGCAATGGCCTATAGAAACCCCCGTGAGGTTGGGAGCATTCTATGTCTGCCATCGACTGGATCTGGCACCCAGACAGGTAGGCACCCCAAAACAAACCCCAATTCTGGTAAACTATTGCTACCGAAAGCTGAACGAGTGGACAGAACTCCCCAAACGAAAATTAGCAAACAAGCATGACGCCATCATGTGCCGCTGTCTGAGCAATCCTCCCCCTCCCAGGCGGGGGAAGGGGGAGCCCCTCCCAGGCGGGGGAAGGGGGAGCAAAGTAGATCGCCGGCAATCTACTTTGCAGTTGTTAGGCTGGATGTCAAAATTTGCGAAAACACCGCCGACCGGAGGGAGGGAGGGAGGGAGGGATGCAGGGGAGCCTTTGGAACTTGCCCAGAAAATGGAGTTTCATTACATTCAGCTCTGATTTTCTAGGAGGGAAGCCCTGTTGCCTCCCCAAAGACAAGAGAGAAAACAGGGAATCACCCGGGTGGCGATCAGGCACCACTCCTCAACGCGAAGCTGAGACAACTGGCTGCAACCGATGACCCAATGCAACGCAGGCCCTACCAGGTCCAGGGACATTGATGCTCACCAAAATCCTGGCGAGCAGCCAGGACCCTGTTCAACCTCCAAAAACCCCATGCCTGAAAGTCAACCCAAGATATGTTGCCAAAGACGGCAGCCAAAGCAGCAAACTTACGCACGTCATGGGCATGAGGATAGACCACAGGCTGGCTAGCCTTAATAATCCTGCAGACGACCTGGCAGACCTGAGCTTGGGAACAGGGAAGAAGGGAAACCAGATCAACTCACAGCGCATTCCCGGTCACCAAAACTGTAGCGCGCAAATAATGGCAGAGCCATAATCAGACACAACACGCAATGCACTTCCAGCTTGACCCACCAACAACCAACAACCCAAGGACCCCTCTGGAAAGCAGCAGTCTCATTCCTCGACAGAAAAGGAGACGGCTGCAACCGAACAAACCTACCACCAGGACAAAAAGTGCAGAAAACCCTTCGCCGGAGGAGTGCATGAAGCGCCCTCTCCCGACCCCTAGAGGCCAATGCCAACAGGAAAAGAGCCTTGGAAAAACAATCCTGTACTGAAGGGGCCTCCACAAACTGAGGAGAAGAGAGGAAAGAGAGCACCCGGTCCAAGGACCAGAGGGCTCGGGCGATGCATGAGCAGGCTGGAGATGAAACAACGCATGAGACAACATGTGGAATGGAGTAGACGTAACATCAATACCGAACGCAAACTGGAATGGCTCTGCCAGCACCGCACAACAGGTGGTGACAATATTCGGCATAAGATGACGGTCCTGAAACAACCACGACAGGAAGGACAAGAAAATCCAATCAGAGACCAAAGTACACCTTTGCAGTGATAGGAAAAACCAGAAGGACCGCCAGGAAACCTCATACTGCCGACAAGACGAGGCACGCAGATGGGAGACCAACAATTAAGCCACCGGCGCCCCATACAAATGGTGATAGACTCGAGTCAGCCTAGACCAGACACGAAGACTCGAGGAGAGGAGCATACCAGCTTTGTAATTTGCAGAACCGATCTCCTGAAAGAGGTGGAGCCACGGGAAGACCCTTAGGTTCGGACACCGAGCAAGCAGAGCCTGAAACAAGGCTGGGCTGGCCACCAAGGGGCCAAAAGGACTACTCTCCCATGGTAAATCTCCAAGTGAGCCAGGATTTGGAGCAACAACTGAACCAGGAAAAAGAGGTACAAGTAACCCCACCTCGCTCAGTCCTGCCTGAAGGAATCAACCCCGACGGCCTCGCAGTTGGGGAAGGGCGCCATGAATACCAGGAGACGTCTTGACCACGCGGATGCAAAGAGATCCACTTCCGGAGACCCAAAAGTCTGGCAGAGCCAACGGACTCTTCCCTCTCCCGGGAAGAGGGGGAAGGGGTTACACAGACAGAGGCGCGGCAATGTGATGACGTCATGCTAGTTTGCTTGTTTTCATCTGGGGAGTTCTGTCCACTCATTCGGCTCTTTGTAGCAATGTTTTCACCAGAATAGGGGTTTGTTTTGGGGCGCTTACCTTTCTGAGTGCCTGACCCTGTCGATGGCAGACATAGAATACTTCCAACCACACGGGGGTTTTCTATAGGCCATTGCTTCTCATGCCTCTCTGAGGGGGGCCAGGTTCTGGCTCGTAGTCCCCAGTAGGCCTAGAACTCCATACACATTGGCTGATGCCAGAAATTTAATATATCCATAACCTCCCCAGGAGCTATCCAGGCTGATATCTTGAGGTTATCTTGAGATGATTTCGGGGCTTTTAGTGTCCCCGCGGCCCGGTCCTCGACCAGGCCTCCACCCCCAGGAAGCAGCCTGTGACAGCTGACTAACTCCCAGATACTTATTTTACTGCTAGGTAATAGGGGCATAGGGTGAAAGAAACTTTGCCCATTGTTTCTCGCCGGTGCCCGGGATCGAACCCGGGACCACAGGATCATGTGTCCTGCGTGCTGTCTGCTAAGCCGACTGGCTCCCTCCCCCCCTTTTCTGGGGGAGCCAGAAAATCATGGATCAGTTGAACAATTGAAGTGAAAAGGTGGTGGGATGCCAAAATCATTAACAGTTTGAAAGTGTGATATTACAAATATTAAAGGCAAGATGGGACACCATGAGCATAGCTCTTGTCCTTTAACTACACATGTTAAATACATAATAATTTTACACATGCATCATTATACACATGCATTATTATACACATGCGCACACACACATGCCACTTTTACACAATTCCTGCCACCAACAGTCACTGAAGAGATGGACTGTTTTGTTTGGTTTCCTAATCTAAGCTATTCAATACAAAATATTATTACACAAAAGTTTCAATACAATGAAAAATTCCCATAATATTTAATGATATTAACAAAAATACATCATATTGGGCAACATTGACACATTTCAATGGAAGCCATATTCTTTCCTTCAAACTGTATGAAAACCTAAAATATATGCAAAATTGACAAAACATCCCAATTGTGGGATGCCTAATTAATCTATTTAAGGGAGATTTAGCTGTACTATACCCATGAAACTATATTAAGTAACAGTTCTAAGTTACCTCAAAATTCATAATGACTTCAATAAATAATAACAATGCTACCTGAAACAATACATTACATTTTAATACATAGAAATTTGTTGTATGAACCTGTTGCACGGTTATCTTATTTACCAACAAGAAATATTTAGCAGTATATTCTAATTATGCAAAGTATAATGAGATCTTAGATACTCAATACTGTAAGCATATACTGTACTGTATACAGTAAGATACTCTTAAGATACTCAATACTGCATACTGTAAGCCTATGCAATTATAAGTGGAAAGATCACTTTAAATGCCATTATGCATAAAAGAATGCACTGTACTGTTATATGCAGTTTAATTAATATTTTACAGCAAATATATAAATCAGCTCCTCTGATGCAAGTGTTGACCCTAGGGGTGTAACCTTTAGAATGTGTAGGTGTGTGTGTGTGTGTGTGTAATTACCCAAGTGTAATTACCTAAGTGTAGTTACAGGATGAGAGCTACGCTCATGGTGTCCCGTCTTCCCAGCACTCTTTGTCATATAATGCTTTGAAACTACTGACAGTTTTGGCCTCCACCAACTTCTAAAATAACTTGTTCCAACCATCTACCACTATTTGCGAAAGTAAATTTTCTTATATTTCTTCGGCATCTTTGTTTAGTTAGTATAAATCTATG